CCGGGGTCCCCCCGCGCCCCCCGCGCCGCCGCCGCGTCCCCCCGCGGGTCCCCCCGCGCCTCCCGCAGCCCCGGGCGCGGCCCCGCTCCGCTGCTGCTCATCCGCCGCCGCCCCGACGGGCAGCACTCGTGGGCACGGCCCGAGCCCCCCACTGCGCCCGCGGGGGCTCCCGGGGGGCGGCGGGACCCCCGGCCCGGCCCCGGGGACCCCGAGGAGCTGGCGCGGAGGCTGCGGGCCCCGCGCTGGCTGGAGCCCGGGCAGGAGCAGCGGCTGTTCCAGCGGCTGGAGGAGGAATTCCTGGCCAACACGCGGCTGCTGGAGCAGCTGGGGGACACCGAGAGCCCCCCCGCGCCCCCCGCCACCGCCGACTCGGCCTATTGCTCCTCGTCGTCCTCGTCTTCCTCCCTCAACGTGTTCGCCAAGCACGGGCTGCCCGCCGAGGACGGGCGGCGGAGCGGGAACAGCGACGGGAACAACAACAACGGGAATAACGGGAACAACGACGGGCTGGGCCCCCCGACGCTGCCGTCCAACCCCTCCATGGGGGACGTGAGGCGCCGCTCCACCCTCTCCAGCTCCTCCGACGAGAGCTGCTGCTTCCCGGCCTCCTGGGACAACCGGGAGACTCCCGGGAATCCCGGCTCCGACACCGACTGGGCGCCCGGGGAGGACGAGCTGCTGGAGATGGAGGAGACCCCCCTCGCCCCGGGGGTCTCCACGCCCCCGCGGCGGCCCTGGGCCAAGCCCCGGCTGGACACGCAGCCCCACAAGGCGCCGTCCCGGATCCCCACCCCGCGGGGTTACGGGGTCGGGACCCCCCGGCCCCACAACGGCAGCCCCAAGGCCTGGGGGGCCCTGCAGAGCGTCTTCTCCTCCCTGCTGGAGCCCCCCTGGGCCCCGCGGGAGCGCGAGGGGCTGGAGGAGGACACGTGGCCGTGAGAGGTGGCCGTGGCACCCCTGGGGACATCCCGGAGCGGCCACGGGAGGTGGCACCCGTGTGGAGACGTGATGGACGTGGCCCGGGGGCGGGCAGGACGCCTTCACCCGGTGACTGTTGGCGGGGGGGTGGGCCCTGCGAGGAGCCCCCAGCCCCAGGCAGGCCCAGAGGGCCCCGGGTGTGCCCCCAGCTCCCGGGGAGCAGCTCCATGGGGGTGGTGGTGTGGTCATGGTGGAGGTGGCCAGAGCAGAACTGGCACCTGGGAACGGGGCTGGAGAGCCCCTGGCTCTGCTCAGCTGGGACTCTTCATCTCTTCTCATTCTTCTCATCTTGTTTTCTCCTCCTCTTCGTGCTATTCTTGTCATCCTCCTCCTCATCTTCTCATGTTCTCTCATATTTCTACTCCTGTTTTGGTCGCCTTCTCCCTACTCTTGTCTTCTCCTCCGTGGCCTTTGTGTCCTTCTCATCATCACCTTCTCTTCTTGACCTTGTCCTCCTCTTGTCTTCTCTTCTTGGCCTTCTTGTCCCCTTGTCATCATCACCTTCTTGGTCACCTCCCGCCTCTCTTCTCTCCCTCCTCTTCCCTCCACCCCTAAGATGACTTGGGGACGTGCAGCTTGTCACCACAACCCGGATTTGAGGTCGGGAGGGGGTCACTGTGTCCCCTCCGGCCCCAGCACTGCTGGGGTGATGTCCCCAGGGTGGGACAGGGCTGTGCCCCCCGTGGCCCCCACCCCTCGGGCCCTGCATGTCCCCCCAAGCCAGTAAAGACCGAGGGAGCTGCGCCCACCGCGTCCGCTCGTCTGTCTGGGGGGTCAGACCCCCCAAACCCAAGGGAGGGGGCTCTGGGGGCCCCAGGAGGGTGGGGAGCAGTGGAGAGCCAGGCTGAGGGTGATCCCTGATGTCCTGCACCCGCTGCAGCCACGGGGACCCCTCGGCTGTGTCTGGGACCCCTCCAGCGGCATCCCTGGAGCCCAAAGTGCCCCATGGCTGAGACCCCTCACCGGGGGGGGCATGGGCCTGCTCCAGGGGCTGGGAGGTTGGGGGGCACCAGGGGGGTCTGTTTCTGCTGGTGGTGACCATCCTGCTGTGACTTTGGGGGTCCTAAAGGTCCCCAGATCTCTGTCCTGCCTCTCCCTTGGGAGCGGGGCTGGTGTCCCATGGGGTGTCCCCAAACAGCTCCAGTGCCCTGTGGGGTGTCCCAGAGCAGCTCCAGTGCCCTGTGGGGTGTCCCCAAACAGCTCCAGTGCCCAGTAGGATGTCCCAGAGCAGCTCCAGTGCCCTGTGGGGTGCCCCAGAACAGCTCCAGTGCCCAGCAGGATGCCTGGCAGGGGTGCCAGTGCTCGGTGGGATCTCCCAGAGCAGGGCTCAGTGGTGCTGCCCATCCTCACCAGGGACTGTCCCCCAGCCCACAGGGACCAGCCACACCTCCTGGTGACCCTGTGCTCGTCCCCAGCCCCAGGAGGGGCTCAGGGGCACCCTGAGCATCCCCCAGATCGGGGTGCAGGGCCTTGGTGGATCCGTCAGGGGCTCTGGGAGCAGAGCCTGGAGCTCCCAGGCCCCTCCTGTCCCCGAGGGGTGACCTGTGTCCCCTGGCCATGGGCCATGTGCTGTGTCAGGCCTTGCTGGGCCATGGCCACTAGGCCGGGCTTATCTTCCCCTGCAAGGCCAGGCCAGTGCTGGCAGGAAGCTCCCAGCATCCTGCTTCCCTCGGGATCACGGGGACAGGGCCACCCCACGTGTCCCCATGGGCAAGTGTCACCTTTATTCACCTCAAACCAGTGAACACACAATAGATTTATCTTCCATATATTAGAGATTTCCTGCTTCCAGGGAGGGGGGACCCATGGCTTGATTTGGGAGGGGAAGGAGCA